TGGAGATAGAAAATGACTGCAGAGACATGACAAGTAAGAGAAATGAGGAAATGAGGTTTGCTGGAAGTGAGGGAAGGAAAGGAGTAGGAAAAAGGGAAGGAAGAAGCAGATAGAAAAAGTGTGCAGTGTGGTGGACACAGCTGTGCGTGTGTGTCTGAGGTGTGTGCGTTCAGCGCTAGAGACTGTGATCTTTGTGAGTCGGACAGGGAGGAAAGAAAGGAGAAAGGAGAAAGGAGGAGGGGAAGCACAGGCCGTTTTCCTCAAGACTTTTATACCAATTTTAATGAGGAATCTTCCACTTCATGTGTCTGTGCCGCAGTTTAGGCAAAAAACACCTCGAAATAGCAGCGGTTGACCAAGAGGGAACTTCGAGAGAGAGGGAGGTTAGGAAGTGTTTCCTGAGGAGAACAATTAAAAGCCAAATATAATCTCCCTCTCGCCTATGGACTGCTTTTAATGTGATTATCGGGCCGTTGATGACGCAGAGTGGAGACCTGCACCCAGGGGAAACCTCTCCAGTCTCGGGTCTTGATACTTGCGGCTTTTTGAGCAGAGACAGAGTAGACAAAGAGATAACTGATACATAGTTGGAGAGATGAGGAAGACAGACATGGTCTGTGTTCTAACAACAAATGTAATATTTTCATTACAAGGACTTTGAGCTCATGTTAAAGGAACGGTTTGACATCTTGGGAAACACATATTAATCACTTTCTTGTGAGGATATGATAAAAATTTGATGTATGTGCAGTAAATATGTAGCCGGAGCCAGTAACCACTTAGCTTAGCTTAGCATAAAGACCACTGACAGTATGTAAGCAGTGGACAGACCTTTCAGGTCTGAGAAGTGAAGCCAACATGGAAGTGTCTTAAATCTGCATTCTTTCTAATGGTCAGCAGGGGGAGCTCCATTGGTAGCATTAAGACCTGCGCTTAAGCTCTGTTAAAGATTATGAAACATATTTTAGTGTTAGCATGCTAACACACATATCTAAGATGGCAACCATGGTAAATATTACGCATGCTAAACATCACAGTAGCATTATCACTGTGAACCATCGACATATATGAAGATACACCACGACTCAAAAGTGAAGCCAAAAAAATCTTGATTGCCCCCTGGTGGCTGGTTGCACTATAGGTCATCTAGCCTGCTGTCTCCATGTTAGCAGATGGGACTTGGGCCAAACTAAACAAATCAAAGTACAAATACATTCGATACCACGGCACCACCACCGATCACTCCTGCGCATACTCTGGCTCTGAAGGGCCAAAGACTGCAGTGGCCGTATCTGGGATATTTTGGCTTCATTATCAGACAGTGGAAGGAAGTGAAGATGTAACGTCCATATATGTCGATGCTGTGAACATGTTAACATTTTGGAATCAGCATTTAGCTACTCCAAGTGCTCTGACACTGTTACAGTTTACCTGTCATGCACAAGTGCCTTTAATGTATTCTATACAGACAGGGGACACTACTTCTGTGCTCATGTCTCTGTATTGTTTTAATTATGTTATTTTTTGTGCACTACCTTGTTATACTGCACTGTTTGCACTGTCACTGTTCACATACCTTATCTAAATGCCTTTATACAGATACCGTGTCAAATTTACCTTGTTTCTAATGCTGCCGGTCTCTGAGACATAAAGTGTCTAATGTCTAAAAGCACAGGTGATCATCAAACTGAAGCAGCTAAATTAAGTTCAGCCATCATATATTTTACTGTTTACACCTGAGCTTTTCTACTATGCTACGAAAAAACAAACATTGTTTGTATTTACAGCTTTTTGGATGTGGTGCAGTCAGTATATAATTTCCTTCTTTTCCCTTTTTTCTAGAGAGACGTCAGCACAACCCTCTCGATGCGGCTGGGGAAGAGGGCTAAACCTGAAACACGATGAAATTCTGCACAGCTGCTCCTCCGAGCTCCTATGTGATTTTTGTGATTTTGAGTGCCTACATGCATTTGTGCACATATTGAGCAGATTAAGTTTTCTCACGATTCTGCATCAAACCACTTCCTTTTTCCTTTGAGGAACTTTTAGAAGAAAAAAAATTGTAACATTTGCAGAATAAATATTGTCAAAGTCCTACCTCGAGATGGAGTACAGACCCACAAGATACACTGGAACTCCTGTATGACATAGGAAGAGGAGCTCCATGCTGTAAAGCTCTGTAGTGATCAAATGCAGCTATAAATACTGTGTCAGTAAATATGAAAAAGAAATACTAATTATAGGCTATTATTAATCTTAGCCAGTTTTATTGGTTGTCTGTCAGTGCATTTGAAGCGTTGAGGGATGATTTTCTTACTAATAGGTGTTTGATCTTCAGATAAGTATGTGTAACGGATGACAGTTTGAGTCAAAGGTGAAAAGAAGCAGCACACACACACACACACGCACACACTGTTTGATGGGAGCAAAGTAAGAGTTTCATGTAAAAATATCAACCTGTATTAATACATGAAGGAGCCTATTCTGTGTGTGTCAGTAACATGATGTGTCAGCTGAGGGACAGACTGAGTGAATGGGGGAGATGACAGACAGACAGATGCAGCAGCAGCAGAGGAGCGTTTCCTGATCAGGTTCAGATGCGGTGCTGAACAGAGTCTCCAGAGACTGCTGAGCGGAGGAGGGGACAGATGCGATTCATTCATCATTTATCTCCATCGGTGTGACTTTTTTTCTTTCTTCCCCCCACGGTGTCACACTCCCATGGGACCCCCCTCTTCTTTGCTCTGACATGAGCAGCAGCATGGGATGATGATCAATGAAGTTGATGATTTTTAACACATACTTTAGTTTAAAGTGGATTAGACATGGTTTCATTTAAACTAAATGCCGATGTAATTGAGTGTTCTTGCTCATTTAAAGGGCCACTCCGCCAGTTTTACACATAAAGTTTGACATACTAGTTATAAAGAGTACTATGTTGCCTGAGAGGACTATTGTGTAATGCTCTGGAGGGATCTTTCCAGAGACTGAAAAAAAACAACAACCTGATGATGTCATAGCGATGTAACCGGTCACCTCGGCTTGAGTTTAGAGAGACTACTGATTTAAAAGAAAGTCTTTGTTACTACAGACTGTGGGGATGGAGTTTGGAAGATGTTGGCATTTGCCTGACAAGGACAGTTTAATGAAAGGTGCTGTCAAGTTGCATGATGGGAAATGTAGGATCCATTGTTTTTTTGGAACTTCACCCATTCTACCGACTAAAGATCAGGATATCTCTGCAGCAATGATTATGATCATGTTTTAAATTCTGTCTCTTGTGAGTGCCCCAACTTCATGGGGGTGCAATATGAAATAGCTCTCACTTCACTTAATCATTTCATTGCATTCAGTTAACCTGCAAGGTGGGAGCACAAGAGGAGCCTCTAATATCAGTTTGACATAAAGGCTTCCCATCATGTGCCCATTTAACATGAATGAATCTACCATTGCTGCACTATTATATCATGTGTAAGTAACCTGACTGAGCTGAGACATTAAAGGGCTGTGGGGAAATGATCTTATATTCCACTCCAGCTGTTCACCAGCAGCTGTTTGTCGCGTGGAGCACAGCTGGAAAGATGCAGCCAGATCACACTCAATGGAAATCACGACGGCAGTTTGCGTAATGATCCCGCGTCCAACTTTGGGAGCAGATACACTGAGCCTGCTGCATCCACAACCTTTAAGCTATTTTTGGTTTTTATGATCGGATCCCTGATCGGATCGCTCCTGCAGCAGCGGCACGTGTTCCGCGGGATGCTGGAGATGAAGGTGGGAAGCTACGGGACCCTCTAACTTCGAGGTGCGCAGAGACGCAGGGGTGAGTCAAGTCTGGAAGCCCGGGGGGGGGGCAGTCTATAGT